AAAAATTCAAATGCAACACAGACAATATATTTTACTGTGACCCTTTTTTTTTTCTTTTTTTTTCTTTTCTTTTTTTCTATGGCACCCTGGTCACTAAATGTTGGACATGTGCAACAGGAGGAAGAGGGGGAGAAAAATACTTCCTTTCTTGGATGATATATAATATATCACCATGTAAGCTAAAGAGTTGATTAAAATTAACAAGAAAGCAACCTTAAAAATCGCATGTTTAAATTATTACTTTAGGTGTGGATCAGTGCTACTAATATCCTTCCCTTGTATTTTTTTTCTTTTAACAAAAATGAAAACTCTCCTCTCTTCTGTGTATCACACATATGCAGCTTCACTTGTATCTTTCTCCCCAACATACACTTCCTTTGAAAACAATACACTTATAGGCTTTTTTTTTCTTTTCAGAGAGAATTTCTTTATTCATTTTAACAAGCCTTATCAGATTTTTTTATAAACCCCTTTATTCCTCTCCCTTAAATTGTCCAACATTTCAAACCAATTTCCCTCCACCTCATTGTGTATATATATAAATATAAATATATATATATATATATATATATATATATATATACACACACACACACACACCTCTCTAAATTATCCAATAGGAGAATTATTGCTTGATTGTTAATGCCTTAGGACAGTTCAGATGGTGTAAAAGAAAATATATATAATTTTATTATATAGGTTTTGGGTTTTTATTCTTCCCCATTATTGCAATGTATAAAAGTTAACTTTTCTAAGTATAAAGTTTATAAACTGTTTACCTAATCTTTTTTTTTTTTTTTTCTTCCTTTTGGCTATATTTTATACCTTTTTTCTCTTAGATTTGTTTTACAAAATTCTTAATTGTCAATTTCCCCATAAATACTATTTTCATCCCATTTTCTGTTTTCCCCCATTTTTTTTTTTTTTCTTAGTCAAAATCAAATTCTTACACATATGCACTCAGCATGTCTGCATGTTAATTGAACTTCTTTGATATTATTTGTTAAAATATATTTTTGTTGACTTCTTTTCCCTCCTTTATACCAATCCTTGCCTGACCTTACTTCTTATGACCATCTTCCTCTTCAAACTTTCCCTTCTGAATACCCCCCTCCTCTTTGAATGATCCATATAAAGAAATAATTCTGGGCATCGGTCAGAAGTTGGTCATCTTGCCTGCAAGAGGTCAGAGAATGTTTTTTGCTGACTTTTGTCTGGCAATGTCCTCAAACCAACACTTACAAAAAAAAAAATATTCATAATTCTTTTTATTTTGCCAATGACTGAAGTGATAAAAATTGAATAAATACAGCTTCAAAGTAAATTTTTTTTTTTTTTTTTTTTTTTTTTTATTATGGAAAACTTTTTAAAACGTTTTCTTTTTCTGATCTGTTAATCCATATTTATTGGATTATATATACTCTGCCCTCTCCTTTGCCCCTGCCCCTCTTTTGAGATGCCTCGTAACTGCCACCCAGCTACTAAGAAAATATATCTGAGTATACAGAGAAAATAAAATAAAATGAATTCACCTGCTTGCCTTGAGTTCTTATTCAAGACAACTTTCTCATTTTCCTCTCTCTCTCCCCGTTGATCCATAAATATTAGAGATTAAATTTTTAAGCTGATTGCATACAAGAAAACCTCTTTAAAATGAATTTCTCATTTTGAGTCGTGCCAATTTAGCATTTCTCAGCTATTACTAAACCAAACAAAATATTGTTCAATTGATTAAGTTTATCATCATTATTATTGATAGTTATAGTTGAAAAAACTTTTTGAACTCTAGCTTCATTACCATTTTCATATGCCACATTGAAGGTGACCAATATCCAACTAACATCATATACTGGATTTAATTATGAAAAACTTGCAAAGCTCTCTTTTAGTTCGCAGATGAAGCTGGTGAGATTTTTTTTTTTTTTTTTACCATGTTATTTATATACTATAACTGCTGATGTATTGTTTAGAATGTTTATAACATTTTCCTATTTCATTCCCTCATGCATAAATTTAGTTTCTGACTTGTGCTGTTCTACTAAGCAAGTCATATAGCAATTATCAAACTCTAGCAATGACTTGATTGGCCACCAATGAGAATCTCCATACAAGTGAGGAAGGGCATGCTAATTGAAATACAAGATTCTTGTAAGTTAATCACAGTATTGTAGATGCATATAATGGATAAGTAATTTCAGAAATTGTGCTTATCAGTAATTAGTTTTTTCTAATATTTTTCTGTGAAAGATGAAGGATGTATTATTTACATTATGATTAATATCCTTTTTTATCACAATGCTTCAGCCATTATGCTCTCCTGCCTCCTCCTGGTGCCTGTTGCTTCAGGGAATTTGGGACTGGACCCTTTATTTAATCTGAGATAGCTTATTTTCATTTCACTGTCCATCTCTGTAGATTCAATAAAGGGTTCAATTTGACATTCTGCAAAGGAGGTAATCAGTACAATCACTAAAACTGTGATAACAAAGATGACATTGTTTCTTATCCACTTCATTTATCATTTCTTTACTATAAGCTGTAATATTTAGTCTTTATCTTATTGTGAATGTTCAGAAGGTTAATTATGGAAATAATGTGATATTTGGCAATATTCATATATGCATTTTTTTGTATTGTACCAGTGTAACACTTACCTTTTTAGTACTGACTAGTTCTAGAATTTACGGAACTTCTTAATTCAAACCATCTTGAATTTATGGTTTCCCAGTTAATTTATTGATATTATAATCTGAATTTATAAATACCTTTATTTTTCATGGCCATATTTGTTAAATACACATAGTATAAAGGCTTCAAAATATTTTGTATTGCATCTGTTTAACATAAGTACAAAGTGGGTTTTATTTTTTTATTTTTTTTTTTTATTTTTTTTTTTTTTTCAAATTGAACTTTGTGTTGGCTGTGCAGGAAATGGATTTAAAGTTTCTGAATAAAAACAATGGAAAGTTAAATTAAATCTTTGTAAAATAAATTAGGCACTGCTCAAAGACTGGCAACACTGTTTATAGCCTGGGAAGCTTTTGAGAAATATCACAACTCTTGGTATATCAATGAGTATTTGACTGCTGCTTTAAAAAAAAAAAAAAAAGCAGAACCTGTTTGCACTCATAACCTTGAGAACTCTCCATGTAACAAGTAAATGAAAGGCTAATTAAAACCTTACTAAATTATGCTGCAACAACTTAAGAAAATTGTAAGAGGTTATTCTAGTGTTATTTCTATTGATAAGGTCCCAACAATTCAAATTAAAGGGATAGATGTGGCCTTCAGTTACAAAGGAACGAGGTGAAGCGGTATTTAGACAAGTAAATGGTCTGTTCAGTGTTCCAGCAGAAGGGGCATAAATACAATGACATTGACAACAAATAGTTCTACCAGTTTGTTCCCAAAACGATCAAGCAAAAGAATATTAAAAACAATATTAAGCTAATCAAGCAAAATGAAAATAGCAATTTTCAAAAGAATGGTTAAATGTTAACATTGCTATGTCAGATGGCACTGCCATGTATTCATTCAGCCATTCAAATGGACATTGTAATTTATGATTTCAAGGTGGATAGTCATCTTTTGCTTAGCAAAATCTTTACTACAATCAAAATAAGAATGTCTTGCATTCCTCTGTTGAAACTGACAAAGAAACTGAAAAGTTTAGGAAGAGTTATAGTCCTTGAGCCAGATGTTAAATGGAACACATTTGGTTATCTGTGAAACAGAAGACATACTGAGTAGTCTGCTCTTAAAAGTGTAAGGGGAAGTATATAAAAATTGAGACTGAGCTTCTATATACGAAGTTTATGGAATTTACGGCATGCTTATTAAACATTCGTAAAGAAGAGTTTGCATAAGGATAAAAAAAAAAATTGAAATTTTTTTTTTTCTTTTTCTGACCAAATCATGGTAGATTGTCTGCATTTTCATGATGATAATGGCTACAATGTCAGTTACTACTTTAAGAATACGAAAGAAAGCAACTGCGTCTATGTTGGATATCTTGATTGATGGATCACAGTATTATTCAAATTTAAGTAATTGGCAACTGGCACATTGAGTGGAAGAAAAACAATAAATGAAAAGGTGAAATGAACAAGGTGGAATTGACTTTTCACTGAAACAGATCTAAAGAGGGTTTAGCAAGACTTTACTTGATGAAAGCAAATAATGTCTCAGAAAATGGTGTATAGAAATGTTCATAGTGGTTTTTAGTTGGTATGTCCATTCTATTGTTCTTCATGTAAGAGAATTCTGAAATATTAATTTTTTTTTTTTTTTTTTTTTTTCCCCCTTCTGCAAATCATGTGTCACTAAACATTTTAGCAGTCTGACCTGTCTCTGATGGAGCACCCAGTAGAAAAGGAAGGATTTTTCTTTCAGTTCCCCAGAAATTGAATTTGACATCACAAGTTTTCATTGACTCTGCATGACTGGAAAAGAGTCACCTGGTTTTCATCACTGGGTCAATTTGTTCCTTGGAGGTACAATAATCTAAAATAGGTACCTCTACTATTTTGCTGAAAAAATTCCCCGAACTTCACAAACTAAGTTTTATTGTCAAACATTTGTTGTTAAGACAGACCATTAAATTAGCATAGCAAATTTTAGTCCTTTTTTTTTTTTTTTTTTTTTTTTTTTCAAGGAAGATACATTGACAAAACTTTCAAGACTTCTTCAGAAATGAATAAAATTATTTTTATATATATATATATATGTGTGTGTGTGCACACATAAATATTTTTATTTTTTACATGTTTCATCCCACTTAATGATATGAAACTCAAGAAATTCAATGAGATAATTTTTTTTTTTTTTCTTTATGGACTATATTATAGTAACAAAAAACACTGGCGAATTTAAATCATTGATTTTATTTTGTAAAATCAGACTCTGTCATCCTGAAATCTGCTCGGAATTGTAAAATAAAAATATGCAATATAACTAAGACATTATTTAATTAGAAAAAGCTTTTAATTGCTTTTATGAAT